CAGCTTTGCCCAACCCAATCCCAATCATAACCCAAGGACTCTCCCCGCTCCTAGGGCCTCCTTACACTGTTGGCCATAGGAGTTATAGGGGGTTGAAGTCCACTCACCATTCTCTCCCTCCACCCAGTTGGCCCAGAAGTATGACCCTCGACGGGAGCAGGAGCTTCGGGCATGGATTGAGGAGGTTACTGGAAGACGCATAGGTCCCAACTTCATGGATGGTCTCAAGGATGGAATCATCCTCTGCGAGTAAGAATGGGGAGGCTAGGGGCAGCTAGGTGGTGCAGTGGATAGAGCACCAGTCCCGGAGTCAGGAGGACCTGAGTTCAAATCTGGCCTCAGACACTTGATACTTACTAGCTGTGTGACCCTGGGCAAGTCACTTAACCCTAATTGCCTCAACAAAAAAAAAAACAGCAAGACTGACTGGGATTTTATGACACAGGCCCTTAATTTGGAGTGTTGGACCCCTCCCCCCCCCACCAAATGTCCAACTTTATGGAAGAAATTCTGTTCTCTTCCTGTGGTTAAGGAGTGTGGTGGAAAGAACCCTGGATTTCAAGTCCAGGACCTGGGATCAAATTCTGACTCTGCTACTTGTTAGCTTTTGACACTGGGAGGTGATTGGGAGGGGGTGGCATATGAAAGCTGCCATCTAGTATTCAAAGGTCCGTTGAGTGTTGACTTCTGTTTGCTCACAGAAGGCAGAACTAGAATCAATGAGTAGAAGGAAGTTGAAGGGAGGCAATTTCGGCTCAAAACAAGTAAAAACTTTTTTTAACAATTAGGGCTGCTCGAAAGTGAAGTGGACAGCCAAAGAGGGGTTTCAGTAATGGGCTCCTCAAATCCCTGGATTTGCAGGGAAACAGAACGAGTACTTGTGGTAGGGAGGGTATCCTGCTCAAGGTGGAAAGAGATGGCCTCGGAAGTCGGTACCTGCTCTGGATTACCAAATCAGCCTTTGTTCCTTTCAGGTTCATCAACAAACTGCAGCCAGGCTCAGTGAGGAAGGTGAATGAGTCCACCCAGAACTGGCACCAGGTACAGCCCAGCACTACCTTCTCTTCCAATCCCTAGCAGCCTACTTGTTGCCCTTTCTCATCTCTGACTTCTCTGTTCTCTGATCCTTCCAAGCTGGAAAACATTGGGAACTTCATCAAAGCCATCACCAAATACGGAGTGAAGCCTCATGACATCTTCGAGGCCAATGATTTGTTTGAGAATACAAATCACACCCAGGTGCAGTCCACCCTCATTGCCCTGGCTAGCGTGGTGAGTAAGGACCGAGCAGGGCCTTCTATTAGGGGTAGGGGGAAGCAATGATCGGGGGCTCAGTGTCCGCTGCCTTGATCTCTGCAGGCCAAGACAAAAGGGAACAAGGTGAATATGGGAGTGAAATATGCAGAGAAACAGGAGAGGAAGTTTCAGCCAGAAAAGCTGAAAGAGGGACGGAACATTATAGGCTTGCAGGTGGGTAGGGCTGCTGGTAGCCACGGGCCCAAGACGATGTGGAGGAGTGATCCCAGAGCCTAGGGGATGGTTTGCTCTTGCCCCCTGATTCCTTGCTGACTTTGTTAGGCTGGTTGTCTGGCTCATGCCCAGGTCAGACTGCTGCTACCCTAAGGTTATTACCTTGGGAGGATGCCCAGGCCAGTACCTGCTGTCCTAAGGCTCCTGGATGGGTGTCTCCCTAGATGGGCACCAACAAGTTTGCCAGCCAGCAAGGAATGACAGCATATGGTACCCGCCGCCACCTCTATGACCCCAAGCTGGGAACTGATCAGCCCTTGGACCAGGCTACCATTAGTCTGCAGATGGGCACCAACAAAGGTGCCAGCCAGGTAAGCCACATAGGTAATGCACAAAGGCATCTGGGAGGTGGAGGAATACAAGGCACAGCTTTGGGCACCCCACCTTAAGCCTACTGCCTTCGCATGCCCCTCTCCACTGGCAGGCAAGGCTCTGAGCACTTTGGATAGTACATGGTGCTCCCAGCCTTTGCCCTGCATACCTGGCCCAGGTAAGAACTGCCATTCTGCTTCCTCCCCCTGCAGGCAGGCATGACAGCCCCTGGGACCAAGCGGCAGATCTTCGAGCCAACGCTGGGCATGGAGCACTGTGACACACTCAACGTTAGTTTGCAGATGGGCAGCAACAAGGGGGCATCCCAGCGTGGCATGACGGTGTACGGCCTGCCCCGCCAGGTGTATGATCCCAAGTATTGCCTGACCCCCGAGTACCCAGAGTTAGGTGATGAGCCCACTCATAATCATCACTCACACAACTACTACAACTCTGCGTAGGGGCCAACCCAGAACCCCAGGGAGGGAGTCAGCAGCTGCTCTAGGGGCCTGAAGAATGGCCAGGCCCAACCTGCCTTACCACCATGCCTCAAGGGTGTATCCTTCCAGCCAGGGTGCATGTCTGGGGGACGTTAGGGTTGGGGGAGTGGGCTGTGGGAGCCAGGAGAAGGGGGAGACAGAGGGAGAAGGAGGCTCTCTCCTCCTTCCCCTGCCCCTTTGACCCCCTGCAAAAAACCTCACCCTGAGCCTGCATTCTTGAGTCTGCTTTCCACCCTGCCTCTTGCTCAAGGCTAAGGCGCCATTTTCCCCAGAGGTCAACGTAGGAGTAAGGAGGTCTCTTCCTAGGGGTGGAGGTGAAACCTCAAATACACCAAATATAACGAGGCTGGACAATACCCCCAACAGAAAAGCCTCAAGAAATCCAAACTACTGAGCAGAAATGAAATTGCTGTATGTCTCCCTTGTCCTGAGGACTCCCCCTCCTTGTCCCATCCTGACAGCCCTGACCCCCAAAGCAAACTTGTCTCGGACTTTTCCCTTCCCAACCCCAGCGCAGTGAGCACAAACTGCATGCCAAAAGGCCAAGCGGACACACTCGGTTTTGCATTTTTGCATTGACTGGCATTCCTGAAGGCGTTTGCTAAGTGAGCACTTTCTTTTTTAAATTTCACTGGAGCACAATAAAAATTTACAAAAACCACTATTAGCTCCCAAAGCCTACTCCGTTTCTAGCTCCAGCATCCTACAGGCCCCGGCATTTACCTTCTTGTCTCTTCCCTTCCCCATCCACCCCAAACCAGGAATGAGCATCGCCAAATGTCCTAGAATGTGTATTTGATGTGGGAGTTGGAGGTGGGAGGGAGTATGAGATCTGAAGTCAGAAAATCTGAGTTTGAATCCCAGATCTCCTTACCATATGACTTTGGACAAGTCATTTCGCCATGCCAAGCCTCAGTTTCTATCTCTGTTAAAAAAGGGAGTTAGGTTAGATGATCTCTTAAGGTTTCTTCTTGCTCTTAAGTTTTACTCCCTTGGCCATAGGAGTCTGCTTCATTCCTGGGGCACCTCAATCACCAAGAAGCAAAATCTAAGGAAGGAGGAAAGGAAAGAAGGGAGAAACGGAGGAGGAGGGAGGGAGAGAGGAAGGAAGGAAGGAAAGAAATAAGGAAGGAAAGGAAGAGAGGAAGGGAGGTTTATTAAGCACCTACTATTCACTATGCACCAAGTACTTTACAAATACTACCTCAATTGATTCTCATAACCCTTGGAGGTAGCATTTATTAAGTATTTACTATGTGTCAGGTACTGTGCTAAGTACTGGGGATACCAATCCAAAGCAAAAAGAAAGTTCTTCCCTAAAGAGAGGGACTAGGCCAGGCCATGGTCAAGTAGAAAGGTCTGGGCTCCCCTGTAGGGAGAGGTCTTCTGACAGGACAAGGGATGTCTGGGAAGAAGACTAAGAAGGGAACTTGTTGGACAGTGACTCAAAGGCAAACACTTCCCACATTAGGGCAGGGCCTAGGGCATCCTCTTCTCTCTTACCCCAAGACCCTGAAAACAGCTCTGTGACCACATACACACCGGTTTCACTCGTGCCACAGACTGTCCAGGGGTACACCAGTTCTTGGGGCTTGAGGGAGAGAAAGATGCAGCAACAGTGCTCCCAGGAGAAGGAAAGGGCAGAAGTATGGTGGGAAGAAAGGGAGTAGTTAAAAGGACGATCTCCTTCGGGCCTTAGCCTCTACTCCCACCTAATAAACCGGATTCCAAGAAGTCTTGGCTCTTGCTGTTTCTTGTCCTGCTCCTTGCCAAGGGTCCCTGGCGCCTGTCCTGCCCCCAGGCCAATAGGGAAAGTTGTCCTAAGGATCCGAGGCTCCTTGGGAAAACAGCACCATATTAGCACTGAACCTCTAGGAGCTGAAGACATAGATTGGGAGGGGGAAAGGGGCAGATGCCTGCCTCCCTCAAGGAATGGAATACAGGGGAAGAGTCAGGCCCAAACCCAACAGACATTCTAGTCTCCTCCTCCTTCTCCCTGGGACTCGACAGCATATTTAGGCAGCCACTTGACCTGAAGGGCATTTTGAATGGTGCTTTTTTATACAGAAATCATCCCTGCTCCTTGACACTAAGCCACGTGAGAAGTTTTTAGCAGGGAGATGCTGAATGGCGTGGGGGAATAGGGCTCAGGGTAAAGAGGGTTGTACTGAGATCCCTTCTAGCTAAGCTTATGTTCTGTCCATTGGCTAGCTGTCCTATGGGCAGTTTACACTTTTAACGGGACCCTTAACCTAACTTGGTGGCTACCAGACGTAACCTGGCCAGTATTGGCTTGCTGTCCATCTGCCCTGGTCTGCCTCAGGTTCTAAACCAGTTAGTTCTAAGTTCTAAGTCTTTCTAGTTTCTAAGGCCAGGCAAGAAGGCACCTGGGGGTTATGCCAGATAAGCAAAGACCCTGTACACATGGCAACAGCTGGCACTTGACGCGCTGTATGAGAAACCATAGTTTAAGGAGCAAGAAAGGCTCTCAGTGCTTCTTTCTTGGGTCAAAAATCTTAACAAGAGCTTTGTGAAGCTCTCCTGTCCTCTCCTATCCCACCATCTAGCCCAAGTGCCTGGCTTTGGGCTTCGGCTGCCTGAAAGTTCTCTCCCCAGCCATGCTGATTAGAGGCCAATAATCACAGAAATGGACCGAAATCCCTCAGAGAGTAGTTTATTAAAGGGACACTGATAGTTCCTCTCCCTCCACCTGCCTACCCCCTCAACCCACCAAACCCCCATCTTTCTCAGTGAGATCAGTATTATTTATAGTAACTGACAAGAGGGACTTTTAGACAGCCTGAAATCAAGTCACTTCAGGAAGGGGAGGAAAGATGACAGTTCAAATGAAAGAGGATAAAACCAATCAAGTGCTAAGTCTCAATGGCAGGAGCCACTCCAGTGCTCTTCTCTTCCCCCAGACCTGGCTGGCTGTTTGCTCACTGGGAAACCAGGTACCGGTGGAGTTCTGAGACAACTCAGCCGCATCTGACTGATGTAAGGCCACGGTATCTGCACCTCCCCGGGGGGAGGGCCAAGTCTGGTCTCACGAGGGCTGGGGGACAGGGGAATCTGCCCCAAGCCTTCAGAGATCCATGGCAGCTGCCTAACTGAGTGCCTTCAGCCACTGCCCCTCCCACCTACAAAGCAATGCAGATGCCAGTCCAAGAACTCCAAGAATAGGTAGAGGCCTAGCCCAGGCTAGAGCTACAGAGGGAGCCATTCTTCTTCCACTGTTCTGGAGAGAAGCAATGGGGGAGGATGAGGGTGGGCCCGAGGTCAGGGAGGGGACAACTGAAGCTTAGGAGTCACTTCCTTTGTGGTCTCAGGAGAGTCTTCCAGCTACTCAGGGCCCAATAGGACGCCCACCCTTGACAGCAAGCAGGCCGGGTCCTCAAAGCCACTACTGATTGGCCGCTTCACAGGCATCTATCCAGTCACTATATACATCCACGGGTTCTGACAGATCTGTGTAGTCCAAAGTCAAGGAGGCCACAAGCTTGAAGGGTAGCAGCAGAGTGCATGCACTGGGACCACCAGGGACCAATTTCCCCTGTGAAGTCCACAAGTGGGTAGTACTTATCTGACAGCTTAAGTCCCCTACCAAGAACTCATACCTCCCCTCCCCTCAACCCTTTCTAGGAAGACCCTGAGATATCTAGCATGAGTTTACCTGTCCATAGCAGGGATTTGGGCAATGAATCCTGGAGTATGGGTAGAAGGCCTAATGAGTATATACTAACCTCTTTCCATCAACCAAACTCTCCTCTCTCTTCTACTACAAATCATTTTTCATCCCACTGACTTGGCCCACTGCTCCAAGGGGCTGGCAATTTGGGAAAGAGACATCATTTCAGAAAACAGATTTGTCTGAGAAGGATACATGTAATAGGTGTCTGAAATTCTTCCAAGCACACTGTGCAGGATATAACACCAGTGTTTCGTGCTCGATCCCTGAAATAAAGACATACTGATAAGCAAAGAAGCAACAGCAAATGGAGGGACCTGTCATCCTTCAAATCGTGTGTTATCTATTTGTTTATACCCACAAACGTATGTGTCTCTCCTGACAAAATGTGAGCTGCATGAAGGCAGTCTTTGCACCTCTGGTGCTGAGCATATTGCTTGGCTGCCTGATCCTCTACTGAGAACCAAGTTTGGCCTCTGGGGAGGAACCAGAGCTAGGTCTACTGGACCTGGTGACAAGGGCTAAGAGTGGGGAGGGAGAAGAATGTTGGTAACCAATAAAACAACTACTGATCCCCTGCCTGAGCTTGGGCAAATGTCACTTGTATGCCAGGTATTTATAGGACTGTTCCAGCAAACAGACCACTATACCTCGTCTGGGGTCCAGTAGGACCCAGCAGTAGCCCCAGTTTGGCCAACAAGGTCACTGGCAATGATAAGCCCCACAGTGACCCCTACTCCCAGAGAGACGGATACCCTAACTAAAGGAGCCAACAGTTTTTAGTCCTCCTTCCCTAGAGACTAGCCCTACTTTCAGGGGTTATTAGGCCATTGGTTAGAGGCTTCCCCCTGAGGTTAAAAAGACAAAATGTGTCCAGGTGACTGGGTGTGAATGGGAGTCTACTGTGATTGACTGCATTTGGTTGTCAACCCAACCTAAGATCCCTAACAGAACTCAGCAGGAAGCTCCTTTTGGACAGAAACAATAAAATCCCTTGGAAGTGAGGCACTATTATGCTCTCAGTCTTTGCCTGGAAAGTAACTCACCCAAGCCCAAAGGTCATGACCTCAACCTTTCCTTCATGGTTGACCCCCATGGCCATGACCACTAGCCCCTTACTCACATTTTCACATCACAAGACTTCTCGTGGTTGCAGAAGGGACAAGTGAACTGGGTCTCCAACGTGCCAGTCATTTTCTTCTTGGGAGGAGGTTTTCTCTTTGATTTTCTTCGGCCCATCTTCCCAGAACGGCAGGCCTAAAGGGAGACCAAATATTCCTGCTATTACTGGGAAAAGATGGAAAAGGGCTCCACATAAGCCTTTAAGGGAAATGGCCAATTAGGCCACAAAAAGGGGCCTCAGTTATCTGAAGTGCATAGCCACTTGGTCAGGGAAGGACTCAGCTTAGGGCTCACCTCCTAGTATGCATACATATGCTGTTTGCCATGCCACCCCACTATGTAAAATCCTAGAGGGTAAAGATTTTAATTTTTGTCTTGATATTCCTATCACCTAACATAGTGCCTGTGTATACAGTACAGGCTTATAAATGCTTGAATGAAAAGTTGTCCAGGCCTCAGGAGCCTGAGGGAATCAAAGGCAGTTCAAATTCCACAGGCTGGGCTCCAGGGCAAGTGGACCAATGTGGATAACATATGGTCAAACACACGGTGCTCTGGTAAACAAACTTTGCAGCAGTCAAAAATCTGTTCCTTTCTTTGACTGAAAACTAAGTTAAATACATGGATGTCAAAGCTGATCAACCATAAGCTAAGGCATTCCCAGAGTACTGAATTTAAAGTTAGAAGGCCTTGATTAGAATCCCAGACCTGCCACTCAGCTAGCTTCTCTGACCTTGGGCAAGTCACCTATCTTTTCTGGACTTCAGTCTCCTCGTCAGTAAGACGAGAGAGGTGGATTTAATATCCCCTAAGCTCACTTCCCGTTTTAAATTCTATGACTACACAATTTCCAAGCCTTGGAAGTCTCTTCAAGCTACCTCCTTGCCCAAAGCAAAATCATCCCAATTGTAGAAAACTCACAAAAATCCTTTTGTGTCTTCCTAGGATTCCCAAACTTGTAAAATCCAACAGCTTTTTATCCACTTTGTCACCTACCTGTCCTAGAGAACTAGAAACTAAAGATGGTGGAGAGGTTATCATGGGGATGGTTGAAGTTTACCCAGGGTGCCCAAATAGCTATAAGACCTTCTTCTCCGTGGGGAGGGGAACGGGAGCAGAGGAAGATGACATAAAAATCACTCAATATAGGAGACTAATTATTTCACTTCCAGTCTAGTCTGAGGACTTTTCTGAATCACACACACACACACACACAAAAGCACCCTTGTCCTCTTTGTGAGGGCCTGTCCTGTTCCCTCCCTGTTTCTAAGCCCCTCCTCCAACACAAAGATCCCACCACCACCACCTCGCTCTCCCAGTCTTCAGAATTTGTGAAAAGTCCTATCTGGCTTGTTCAAGGACTTTCTTCTAAGCTCAGTGCACAAGGCCCTAGGTTGGTCAGTCAACGTTTCTTACGTGCATATATGTATACACACACACACACACACACACACACACACACACACACACACACACACACACACGCAAAGGCCCTACCTTTAATTGAAAGGTTTATTAAAAAGCAAAGGGCAAACAAGAGTCTCCTCCCAATGTCTGGTAGGTGGTGGGAGAAAATATTTGCTCTGGGGGTCAGAAAATCTGAATTCTCATTTTCTCCTTACTAGCTGTAGAGACAAGTCACTCTCCCTCTCCAGGCTTGTTTCCCTAGCGGTGAAACAACTGAGGTGACCCAGATGATCTTAAAGGTCCTTTCCTGCCCTGATCCGGTCTAACCGGGGAGTGCGAGCACGGTTGCTAAGGAAGCAGGTCCACGTGGCCAGGCTCGTTCTCCCTCCTTGCACCTCCGCCTGGAGACGGCTCTAAATAGCCCCCAGGATCTTTACAATTGCATCCCAGCCTCCCAGGAACTAAGCCGGGGCTCCGGCACCGCGAAGCACGTCCCACGGGCAGCCCTGCCGGGTTTGGGGGTCCTGTTTGGGGAGGGAGTCGGGCCCCAACACGCCCAACAACCGCCTCCTCTCCGTGCCACACGGAGGTCCCTTTCTTCTCTCTAGACCGCGCCTCTCCTCGCCCCCGCCAGCTGCGGCCGCATCGGTCCCCTTTCTCCCCCAGGGATCCTCGATCTCACGGTTACTCACCTGTCAAGCCCAAGGATCGGAGAAGGAAACCGAGTTCAGCTGGGCCGAGCTTCCCTCCGGCAGCAAAGCCTCGCCGAGCTCTCAGCCAAGCTCGATCGCTACCGCGTCGACCCGAAAGAAAGCAAACTTCCGACTCCAGAGCGGAAGCGAACACCTCTCCCTTTTTGCAGCTCCAGAGAAGTTAAAAACCACACATCAAATGCGGGGAGCTAGAACAAGCCGAGGGCATAAAGATAGGTATATAAGAACGGAAAGTTGAACCAGGCACCACCCCTTTTTCCGGTGCCGCCAATAAGATCGTTCAAACTCGTAGGCCCGCCTAGTCGCGCGTGCGCAAAGGAGACACCCATAAGTCCGCGCAGTAAAGATTCACACCTTGCATGAGGGAGGAAGAAATGCGCCTGCGCAACAGGCCCCTTTCTCTCCATCGGGCTTTAACTGTCACGGTTCTACGCTTCCGTCCTGCGAGCCGGAAGTTTCTTTTCCCGCTCAGGTTCGGGGAGGGGCTGTTGACTAGGATTGGAAGTTTTTGGGCTGGGGGGGAGAAGGAACCCGGGATGTTTGGCTTCTCGAAGGAGGCCTGGGCCCTTTCCGGAGGGCGCTGACGCCGTGCGGGGCCCTTCTCCACATGCCTCAGGGCCGGGGGCCAAGCCGCAGTCTAGGAAAGGGTTGTGCAGGCAGGCAGGCAGGTAGGCCGCCCAGGTCCCCAAAGCCGGCCCTACCCCTCCTCAGCTTGGGCTGGGCTAGGAGGTGGGAATCCTCCGGCGCGTTTCCCAGCCGACCCTTGCAGGCAGGAGCCCTTTCCCCTTTTCTGTCTTTGTATTCCCAGTGTCTGGCCTAGAGGAGCCTTTCCAGACCACAGCCCACTTCTGAACTAGGCATATAAGCAAAACCTCAGCACTTCAAGGTTCCTCTGACACTTCCTCCACCAGTGCAGACTACAGCCCCTGTATCCCTACCCGGGAGAAAAAAAATCCCTTTGCAGCCCTCTGGGGACGAGCCTGCCCTTAATTTGGCAGAGCTGGCTGATTCCTGGTTGGCAGATGGTACAGGAAGCCTTCCCAGCTTGGTAGGACTGGCCAGAGCTTGCCCTCCATTGGCATATTTTTGAGAGCTGACCGTTACACTTCCAGGCATCAGAATAGGCCAAACTATGTCAGGTCTTGCCATTGCTAGAAAGGTTTTCACCTCTACTTCCGCATCCCAACCAGCTGTCAAGAAGGGACCAACTTAGCTATGCATAAACTCTTCACCACGTTAATGGAGGATTGCCACGGGATGATGGATTTTTCTAGCCAAAGAAAAGGTGTTCGAGGGTGATTTGATAGAAGGAATCATCGTTTGAATGAAATCATAGAATCTTAAAGCAAATAGTCCTTAAAGGTTTGTCAAGCACTAGCCCACATAGCCCTTTGAGGTAAGTAATAGAAATCTATTCCCATTTTATAAATGGGAATGTGAGGCTGGGGTAGAGCATTCAGTGTAACATAGCTCGTAAATGTCAAGGCTTAGAACCAGGTTTCCTTACCCCACGTCGACTGCTTCTGTATAGCCCATGTCACTTTCCCTTTTGCCTCTTAGAAACTTGTTTTTGCCTCCAGGATCAAATACAAACTTTTTGCCTTTAAAGATTTCACAACCTGAGTCTAACTTTGATTTCCATCTTTTATTATGCTACTCCCATTCATGTGCTCTGTGATCCAACTTTAATTGTGATCCTCATCTCTAACCTCAACACTTTCGTATAGGATGCCTTCCGTGCTTGAAATCCTCACCTATGCCTTTTAGAATCCATGTTTTTCTTCAAAGCTCAGCTCAAGAACTATGCCCTCCTGAAGGGCTTTCCTGATTCTTTACCATCACTATCCTAGTCTCCCAACAGTAGTCAATCAATAATGCTTGTTGCTGTCAGTCACCAAGCATTTTGCTTACCTTTATTAAGTGCTTACTACCAGGCACTGAGCTAGGGTGTGTGTGTGTGTGCGTGTGTGACCCCATTTGAGGTTTTCTTGGCATAGAAACTATAGTGGTTTGCCTTTTCCTTCTCTAGCTCATTTATGGTAATAGTTGCTAAATCTTGTGTGATTCTGATTGTGGCTCCTTAGTATTTGAATTCTTTATTTCTGGCCAATTGCAGTATTTTTTCCTTGGTCTGGGAGCTCTGGATATTGGCTATAATATTGCTGTGTTTTCATTTTGGGGTTTCTTTCAGGAAGTGACCAGTGAATTCTTTTAGTTTCTACTTTGCTCTCTGGTTCTAAGATATCTGGACAATTTTCTTCATGATTTCTTGAAATATGATATCTAGGTTCTTTTTTGTTCATGGCTTTCTGGTAGTCCAGTGATTCTTATATTATTTTTTCTCAGTTTGTTTTCCAAGTCAGTTTTTTTTTCCTATTCAGTATTTCACATTTTTTTCCAGTCTTTTGACTTTGGTTTATTATTTCTTGATGTCTGATGGAGCCAATTCTAATTTTCAAGAAGTTATTTTCTTCAGTATAGTTTTGCATCTCTTCTGCCATACTGTTCTCTTTTGATATCTTCCCTAGCTCTTGTTTCTTTTCCTTTTCATTCATCCTACGGCCCTCATTTGGTTTTTAAGATCTTTTTTTTAGCTCTTTCTTTAGCTCTTGCTTTAACTCTTCTAGAAATTCTTGTTGGACTTGTGTCCAAGTTGCATTTATCTTTGAGGCTTTGCTTGTAGATTTTTTTGAGTCATTCTCTTTTGTATTTGTGTGTTGAGCTTCCCTGTTGCCATGATAACTTTTTGTGGTATTTTTTTTTTGTTTGCTCATTTTTGGGGCCTACTTCTTGACTTTGGACTTTATGTTAGTGTCAGGTTCTGCACACTTCTGGGGGGTGGGGTGGGGATGGGGACTGCCTGACTTGAGTTTCTGATCTTTTATATTTTTCTGCTGCTTTCACAGCTCTGTCTGAGGGCTTATAAGCTTTCAGTGCCCCTCAAGTTGTGTGATCTGGGTTGAGGTCTGTTCAATACCCTTTTGGTCTGAATTCTGCAAGTTCCTGCCCCAGGTTTGGATATATCAGTTTGTTTCTAGTTGGGAGTTTCAGCACATTGCTTCTTTACGAAGCTCTGCAAGTTCACATCGACTGAACTGCTGGTTCCCCTTTGTCTGGGATGCTGTGCTCTGCTCCTGGGATGAGAGCCACACAGCTGCCATCTGTTTCCTGAAACTTGTTCAGTGTTCACTACGTGATGTTCAAGATGCTCTCCTACTTGAATCTCTGATCCAGCATTGCGTGGTGGGTGGCACAGCTGCCAAATGGCACTCATTCCTAGATTTTCTCAAAGATCTCTTTCTTCTATCCTGTCTTGGTTCGTTGGCCCTGGAATTGTCCTATCAGTCCCTGTCTCCTGTGTCTGAAAACTTCTCTGCCTGTCTCCCTAAGCTCTGGGCTGGAAAATGACTTACTGTGACTTTGTCTTGGCTTTCTCAATCAGAATTCAGTCTGGTGCATTCTCTAGATCTTTGTTGAGAAGGTATGGAGGGCAAGCTAGACTCTAAGATTTCCCCTCTGCCGTCTTGACTCTGCCCCCCCTCAATTTAGTGTGTGTGAAATGAGGCAAGTTTCACAGGTAAAGGGGCAAGAGGAGGGGGTTTTGTGGGAGGCTTGAATGGCTATTGTGAATGTGACAGAGAATCAATTGGGAAGGGTGAGGATTGTTTGGCAGCTAGGTAGTCCAGTGGTTAGAGTGCTGGACCTGGAGTCAGCAAGACTTGGTTTCAAACCCTGCCTCAAACTGATCCCAGGAAAATTACTTCTATTGACTTCTGTTTCCTCATCTGTTAAATGGAGATAATAATAGCATCTATCTTCCAGGGTTATTGTGAGGGGAAAAATGAGATATTTGTAAAATGCCTTGCTAGCAACAAGTTGTTACAGTTGTTACGGTGAAGGCTTGGTTGAGACTTCAGTAGCAAATATTTGTAGTGGTCCTAGTCAGCATAGTTTCATGATTTCTTTTAGCTTTGTTTAGCAGCACATGAATAGGAATGAAGGAAGCAAATGTGATTAGAACCTCACATTTTTTAAGTTCAACAACATTAAGTGCATACTACATGCTAGGTACTAGCAATATGAAGAGAAGACAAAAGATCTTTGTCTTCAAGAATCTTACATTCTGCTAGAGATACAGTGTGTAAACACATAACACAAATCCAAAGTAATTTCAAGGTGCAGAGAGTACTAACAATTGGAGGCAATTAGAAAAGGCTTCCCAAAGGGAGTGACACCTGAGCTGATTCATGAAGGAGGTGAGAAATTCAGAGGACGGAGTGAATTCCATCTATGGGAGATACTTCATTGTTTTCTAGTTGGCCTCAACCAATCAACAGGCCTTGTTGGGGAGAGGTGGGAGGAAAGAATGCAAATCTTTGAACAAAAAAAGTATATGCACACACATGCATATATATGTATTATATATAATTTTAAAGTAATTTACTTTTATGTTTTTATTATGAACTAGAAATTATTAGCAAACATGAAAATTTTGATATACAAAGAAGGCCAGGAAAAGAGAATTGTATATGAAACAATGACTCCAATACAGACAGCTTGTTCTTTAAAATATATGTGCACATATATACACACACATATATTATGTATGTAATATGTAATATGTATGTAATATGTAATTATGTATGTAATATGTAGTATGTAAAATGTAATATGGTAGCACCAAGTTCTAGCTATTATTATTTCAATTCTTTGCTATAACAAAGAGTTGCTATAAACATTCTTATACATATGAATCCTTTGCCTGTCTTTGTCACTTTCAAGGTCTCTCTTAAGAACTTTGAAATTGATTGTATGAGGTGGGAAACACTGGCACAGGACCTCATGCCCACATCAGAGAAAGTGGTGTGCTCTATGAGCAAAGCAGAATTGAAAAGCAGAATTGCTCAAAAGAAACACAAGATGCGAAAATTTAGAGAATCCAACCCAAATGTTCACACGGACTATTTGTGCCTGAGCTATGGTGGAACATTTTCGAGCTCAAGTTGAACTGATCAGTCACAGTCAGACACACTGAAACTCGATTCTAGCATAGTGATGTCCTTTTGGTCCTCTTTGAGAATGAAGGACAACCACCACCCAACTTTGGGTAGAAGCCTAGTACTGGTATCCCTGGGTCAAAGTCTGTGCACAATTTAGTCACTTTTGGAGCAGAGTTATAAAATGCTTTCCAGAATGCTTGAGCCAATTCACAGCTCCTCTAACAGTATATCAGTATTCCTGTTTTTCCCCTAATCCCTCTAACAATGATCATTTTCCATTTTTATCATCTTTGTCAACCTAATAGATATGAGGTAGAACCTAAGTGTTTTTAAAATTTGAATTTCTCTAATTTGTAGCATTCTAAAAATATAGTTGTTGGTAGCTTGGATGTCTTCCTTAGGTAACTGTTTATATCCTATTGGGGGATGCCTTTTATTCTTATGTATTTGAATCAGTACCATACATATCTTGGATATAAAATCTTATTGGATAAATTTGCTGCAAAGGTTTTTTTCCCCAGTTAACTATTTGCTTTGTGTTAAAACTTGTGCTTATCTCTGTCCTTTTTTTGGTCAAGAATTCTTCCCTTATCCATTGTTGTGAGAGGTTATCTCCTTGCATTTCCCTCTCATTTGTTTCATCTATCTTTTATATATAGATCTTATTTTGTTTTGGAGCTTATTATGGTATACGTTGTAAGATGCTGATCTAAGCCTAATTTTTCTGAAACTGCTTTCCAATTTTCCCATTACTTTTTGTCAAATAATGAGTCCTTACCCAAATAGGTGTCTTGGTAGTTCAGTGGACAGAGTGCAGGATGGACCTGGAGTCAGGAAGACTCAAGTTCGAATGTTGCTTCAGCCACTCACTAGCTATGTGACCCTGGGCAAGTTACATAACCTTTCTCAGGCTGTTTCCTCATCTGTAAAATGGAGATAATAATTGCACCTACCTCATAGAATTGTTCTGAGGATAAAATGAGATATTTGTGAAGTACTTTGCAAACCTTTAAGTGCCAAATAAATGATAGCTATTATTAATGAACACTTTGCACTGTATTCAGTTGCGTCATTTATTAATAAGTGGGTTTTTTCATTCATTTCTAGTAACTGAAGTACCAACTGAAAGGTTAGTACCCTAGTGTCACTTCAGTGAAGTACTCATGTTTTGTCATTAACTTGTGTTTCATAATAGGCCACTGATATGGAGTCACTCAGACCTTCCTTTCAACAATAGAAATATTCTTTAGCTCAGGATTGGCTCAAGTTTCTCAGAATGAAAGGGGACAGAGAAACAGGAAGTGAACTTTTCCCTTTGCAGGAAGGTGGATCCTGGTTATGTTAAATCTGGAATAGCCAGAGCAGTAACAATAACTAGGAAAGAGAGCACACTGACAGTGCTGGGTAGAATATCTGAGGACAGGAGTAGCATGCCCACCAGCCCAAGGGACTGGCCACATCTACTAGCCCTAATATAAAATTTAAGAGCAAGAGAAGACATTCACTGACATACACACACAACACATTTAGCCTCTGAAACAGTTATTTTATTGAAATGCAACAACAGAAAACACCTTCTTTGGAAGTTCTCTTCTTTATTCCAGTTTCTCCTTAAGATCAGGATTGGGAGTGATAACAGTCACAGGAGTGGAAAGCCACTCTTTAGAAATGCTTGTTCTGCATCCACACTGGCATATTCACATCAGCTGGTGTTGAGCTATGGTTTCCTGGACCAAAGCTCTTTCAGGTTCTTAAACCTGTGTCCACACCCTAGATTAATCAAGTGGGACTCCTTACTTCTCTAAGTAATAGGCAAATCCCACCTACCTGTCAGCACAGCCTTTGGGGGAGCAGGTTGTATATTCCTAGCCCCTTCCAAGGAAGACAAGCCTACCAGTGCTAGATTCCCAGAGACTCCCTAAGGAGCTTATCTAGGGAAGTGGGAGGGAAGAGGGGAAGAGGTTGAAAGAGAACAGGGAAGGGTGCAATGAGTTCCCACTATCTCCAAGATATTCCAAATATGAGAGGTGCCAGGCAATATAAGATGATAGGGTCTAGGACACAGTTCGACGGGGTAGACTTGTCTTATAGAGAGATTTGCCTGTGGCCTCAATGTAAGTGATGCTCATGTCCTTGGAGGTGATCTCCACATAGGCGAAGCCACCGAGGGAATTGCGGGCCCCATAGTAAAAACGCAGATAACCATCAGGGACCTTACGTTGGTGTTTCTTTGAGGGGTCCATGAAGTTTCCTGCCCCACTCAACACATAACCCACGCCGTCCTTGTCCTTGAGGTACTGGAGAAGAAGAGGACATATATTAGTAGAATAGCCAGGCAAATAAGTTTCCATCCCCAAACCCCAAACTTTTCATTTCTTCTGTCTAGGCTCAGAATCCCAGAGGCCCTGCTGTTGGCCTTTTTGCAGAGCTAAGCCATATTTATATTCCTGATTAGGGCTTAGGCTGAAACAAATCACTTTCCGTTCCCCAAATACAAAATGATTAACCATAGCAGAAGACCCAGAAGCATGGGGCTAGGTGACTGGTTATTAGCCTGAAAATACAATTTTCTACAAGTTAGCCACAAAGACCCATTTGCAGGTAATCCTAATAGTTAATATGATTCATGGTTCCAAAGTGCATTAGATTCATTACGTTATTTGATCCTAGCTACCCTGTGACATAGGGGATGCGTGTTATTATTTTGTCTCCTTTTTACAAGTGAAGAGACAGGCTTAAAAAGGGGAATTTATGTAAGGAATAAAATGCTGCTTGTAGTCACATAGACACCAAGTGGTAGAATGATAGTTTGAAGCTAGGCTTTCTGGTTCCATGTCCAGTGTTCTTGATCCCCCTCTAGTTGAAAGGTGGCTGAGTCATTTCCCTGGGATTCTTTCTCACCCTCAGCTTCACGTACTTCCCCTGCTCTCCTCACCTGCAAGTTGTGGTCATGGCCACATAGGTAAGCTGTGACTTTGTGCTTGACCAGCAGAGGCTGTAAGTGCTTTACAAGGCAATGGGTAGGTCCATGCTCTGCTATTGACCACACAGGGTAGTGGCCAGCTACCAGCAGGTAGTCCTCTTTGGCATTGGTTAGCTGTTTCTTTAGCCAGGACAGCTGGCTTCGTGCCAGTTTCAAATCCTTAGGTCTCTCAGGCTGTTGGCTCAGGAAATCATCTGAATTTCCACACAGTGTCACAGTGTCCAGCATAAAAATGGCCACACTTACATTAGTTTTGGGGATTTTGAATCTGAGGCGGTAATAAGGGCTGGGGAAATTCCTGCAAAGAAGAAGTAATTCTCAGATGAGCACAGGCTAGGAATACATGATGCAATTTAGCATAAGCAAGGCAGGGGCTGTAGATTGTCCATTCTCTGGGGGACACATACACACATAGACACACAGTAGGAACCTGTCTAGTGAGAGTAAGGGACAGAATTTATTACTAGCTGCTGTAAGCCTCAAACTAGTCAGTGCAGGGCTCCTCTAAAAGTTTGAAACTTTAAGCAACTTCAGGAGCTGGGAGATGATTCAGTGGAGAATGAGAGAAGGGAAAGATGGACTTCTTGGTTGGGTTTAACCTTATGGGTTACAGTTTTGGGCAACAGTGGCTAATCATAAGTTGACTTAGTGGAAAATCCAGCTTTCTAATTAAAAGGAACCTAGAGAAAAGCTTTTCGGTTTCACGTAATTAAAATTATCTTACTTTTTTAATTGCCCCTATCTCTCACTTTGATAAAAATTCATTCCTACCCATAGCTGTGAAAAGTATATTATCAACTTCTTGTCTAATTTTTTTGATAGCGTGACCTTGGCGGGGCAGCTCGGTGGTACAGTGAATAGAGCTCTGGCCTTGGAGTCAGGAGGACCTGAGTTCAAATCCAGCCTCAGACACTTAACACTTACTAGCTGTGTGACCTCGGGCAAGTCACTTAACCCTGATCGCCTCACCCCCCCCAAAAAAATAGTGTGACCTTGGCTGTTCAGGTCACCTGTGCATTTTGAATTTATTATGGAATATAGTATATGAAATTGGTCTAAACCAGGGGTGGGGAACCTGCGGCCTCAAGGCCACATGTGACCTTCTAGGTCCTCAAGTGCAGCCCTTTGACTGAATCCAAACTTTACAGGAACAAATACCCTTAAAAGAATTTGTTCTGTAAAAAAATGGGTAGGTCCCCTTGAAAGGATTTGTTCTGTAAAACTTGGACTCAGTCAAAAGGCTGAACTTGAGGACCTAGAAGGCCGTATGTGGCCTTGAGGCCACAGGTTCCTCACCCCTGGTCTAAACTTAATTTCTGTCAGACTGTTTTCCAATTTTTGTCAAATCAGGAGTTCTTTTCTAGGTACTTTATGTTTTTTCATTTATTGAACGAATTATTTCTATTTCTTCCTTGTCTCCCTTGATCTGTTTTTCTATTTTTTAACTGGCACCAGATGCTTTTGAAGATTGCCGCTTTATAATTGAAGTCTATAAGTGTTATTCACCCTTCATTTCTACCCCTCTTTGTTATTTCCCTTGATATTCTATGTCTTATTATTTTGTCTACCTCTGTAAAGTATTGGTGGTTTATTTGGTATAACGCTAAAATCTGTACATTTTTGATATTTTTATTATATTGGCACAGCCCATTCGTGAGCACTGAATATTCCTTTAACTATTTAAGTTGTTCTATTATTGCCTCCTAGATTTTATTATTATCATATAGAAATGCTGTTGATTTTTGTGGGTTTATATTGTAGCTGGCAACTTTACTTGATGCCATGGATATGGGATCTGAATACTAAAGATCATGCCATTAAAAATTTAGAAGGGAAATAGAACATATATCTTTCACAGCTAGTGTAGGAGGTAATTCTTAACCAAAAAAGAATAGAGGTGATTACAAAAGAGAGATTATTTCTATTATATGAAATTAAATTTTTTTCATGAACAAATTAATGCAACTAAGAGATTAGTGAGGGAAACAATCAACTGGTAAAAATTTTTGTCTCAAATATCTTTGATAAGGGTTTGATATGAAAGATATGTAGACAATTCACAGAAATACATAAGACAAAAATATCATTTCTTAATGGATACATGGGGTCAAAGAATATAAACAAACAGTTCACCAAAAAAAGTTAAATTATTAACAATCCTATGAAAGAATGTTCCAAATCACTAATAATAAAAGAAGGGATTTGGACTAGACCTGCAATTTCATTGCTATAGAGAGCTCTCCCAGGTAAGAAAACTCCCTTCTTATCTTGGAGAATAGTCTAGAACACTGAATGGTTGCGTGACTTGCCAAGAGTCGTAGCCAATATGTGTCAGAGGTAGAATATAAACGTAGGCCTTCCTACCACGCACCACTGCCACCTCTAAGAGAGCTGCAAATCAAAACGACCCTGAGGTTTCACCTCACACCCAACAAATTGGTAAAGATGCCAAAAGAAAGGAATAGCCAATGTTTGGAAGGGTTGTAAAAAGACAGGTATACCAATGCAGTGTCAGTGGAGTTGTGAATTGGTCCAGCCATTCTGGAAAGCAATTTGGAATTATTTGAAGAGTACCTAAAATGTTAATGGCCTCTGATCCAGAGATTTCTCTGCTAGGCATATACCCCTAAAGAGATCAATGGTAAAAAGGCCTTATATACACCTAAATGGGGCAGCTAGATGGCGTAGTAGATAGAAGACTCATATTCCTGAGTTCAAATCTGAGCTCTAACACTTACTAGCTGTGTGATCCTGGGCAAGTCACTTAATCATATTTGCCTCAGTTTCCCCATCTGAAAAATGAGCTGGAGAAGGAAATGGCAAACCACTCCAGTATCTCTGCCACGAAGATCCCAAATAGGGCCACGGAGAGTTGGACACGACTGAAACCAGTTGAACAACAACAACAAATATTTATAGCAGCATTTTTTGTGTAACAGCTGGAAACAGGTAGGATATAAACCTAGGCCTTCCTACCATGCATCACTGCCATCCACTGCAGAGTGGCTAAACAAATCTCAGTTCTGCCATATACTTCCCGTGTGACCTTCTCTAGGCTTCAGTTTCCTCATCAGTAAAATGAGGGGGCTAGACTAGATGCCCTAAGGTCCCAGCTCTAGATACATGATCCTATGAAACTATGGTACATGCATGTAATGGAATAGTTGTGCTGTTCAGACCTGAGGAGCTCAGAGATGTGCAGAAAGACTTCTGTAAACTGCTGATACTAAGTGAAGCAAACGTAACTAGGAAGATAATAGACACAGAGACTAAAACAACACGAACAGAAGGAACCACACAAAACAATCAAAACTAAATGTTGTAAATTATAATGACCAAGCTCTGGCCCCAAAGAACTTCCTCTCTGCTCTTTTCAGAAGTGGGGGGATGTGGGTGTGGAAAACTACATATGATGTGAGATTTTTTTACATGTTTTTTTTTTACTGAACTTTTCTTCTTTTTTAATCCTTATAAGGAATGGCTCTCTGAGAGTGTATGAAGGGAGGAATATAGTGGGAAATGGAGATGATGTGAATACAATTAATGGGGGGAAAGGAACCTAGATGTTTCTGAAGCCTAAATATTGCCTACTCTCTCCCTCTTGACTTACTATACATTAGCTAAAGGTGAAGGAGATGAAAGTTTCCCCATTCCATCCCAAACTGTAGGGTTCCTAGGGAGGCTCACTACTCACCAACGCTTAGAGACTTTGGAGTAAGCAATCTGAGCTGAAACATTTCCCAGGTGGTCATGGTTTCCAGCTAGCACATACCAGGGAATGTTTTGAAGGGAGGGGGCTGTGAAAACTTCCTCAAAGGTTTCCTGTGGGGATAAAAGGAGCATGGAAACTGATTAAGCTGGAGGAACAGGGGATAGACATTACTTATAAGGTGCTTCGTATCGTTGTGCAAAGCAGTCTGAAGTGAGAGATGCAACTAAGTTGGAGGCAGACTCCTACATTGTTGGGCTTTAGTCACTGCATATAGTGTCCATACACCCATGCTTCTGCTCAGCTGACTCCCTCTGAGGTAGCCAACTGAGTGATAAATATCTATTCAGCTGGGAGTCTCCTCTAACACTGTGGCAGCATCTCTTCTTTTTCTAATCTGCTTCCAACCAGGACACAAGAATTAGATGGATTCTTCACCACCTCCCCCTCCCCACCCCCAACTGCCCTGGCATGTGATAGGCTCTCTTACTGAAGGTCTTCAAACAGAGCTAGAAGACTGCTTAACAATGATATTGTGGCTTGGAATGGATAACTTTGTAAGTCTCTTCCAACCTTTGAGATTCTCTGTAGCTCTCTAGTCAAGGAGGTAATCATTGGACTTTATAGCAAAAAAGCCTGAGTGATCATAAATTTCAACCCGTTGAGTTGACAGATGAAAAAACAGGCTCAGAAGGGGCAAGTGACTGACTCAGGTCACAGAGGATAATTTGCGGTTGAAGTTCAAACCCAAGTCCCTTGACTCTGAGCTCTTTTCATTTTATGCTGCTGTTTCCCTAGTGGACTTTGGGGGCGGGTAAAGGAATTCAAGCACAGGGCTTAGAAGAAGGAAGAGCCTTGAATAAGGGGCCTTCAGAGTAAGGGACTATGAGAAATCACAGCAGAGGAGGGAGCACCTGGAATCTTTTATCCTCGGCATCCTGAACTCCAGTGAAGTAGAAGTTGTCTCCAAGGGATAGGATGAAGTTGGCTCCCAGGGTTTGCACAGTCCTCCCGATTTCCTTTGCATTTGCCGTTTCTCGGGCTGTGTAGAACGGGGCATTAGGGACCCCTCCCCAGTCTCCCACAGCCACAAAGCGCAAGGTGGGAACTGAATTGTCTGTCAGTGAGAGAGTTAGGGCCCCTTGCAGGAAGAGGGCTAATAGTACCGTCGTCTCCATCTGCAGGGATGAGAGGTGTAGAGCTCAGAAGGAAAAAAGGGACATTAAAAGGGGACTGATTCTCCTATCCTCCTGCACAGCTTAATTGTGTCAGCCTTTTCTGGAATCTATTTTCAACCCCTGATCCATCTGTGTATGTCTGTGTAATCTGTGCTGGGGCAGAGAACTCACTGTGAGAGGCTCTGAAAAGGGGCTAGCTGGGATGTGAGCAAGGGCAAAGGTGAGAGGAAGAAAAGATGATGAAGAGAGGAGGTGACAGATGAGCTGGTATGGAAGGGAGGTAACTGGGGACTAGAGATGACAGCCTCCTGTTTTATTGTGTGAGCTCTCCAGGTATGTTGTACATGCATGCACATGATCACGTACACACATTTTCTCCTTGCTTCTGGAAAAGCTAGTGGGTAGGGAGAACCCAGTGCTGACCTACTTCCCGAGTTGCTAGAATTAAAGATAGTGGAGAGGGGTTAGCTTGGGAAATAGGTTGAAGTCCGTCCAGGGTGACCAATTAGCTCTAGGAGTTTCTTTCTCTCATCTTCCCCTTCCCCTTCTCCAGCCTCCAGCATGGGGACAAAGCAGATGAAAATGGTAGGGGCCCTATGTTTGACCCACAGCCCTGTCTTAGCCCAGCTCTGAACACCAAAAGTGTTCTTGACTCTAAAAAGAGAGCTCAACTTTACCTAGTTGTTCCTAGGTATAGCAGCAGGAAACAAGAAAGTCAGAGTACTGGCAATGGAAAAGGTTTAGAGAAGATAGTCACTCACTCTGGGCAGTCCTTCAATCAGTCTGGCCCCTCGGGCCTAGGGTAGGCAAGCTGCAGATGGCTTCAGGAACTCTAGCTCCCTATGGTTTTATTCTGTGGGAAGGAGGAAGCTGGAGCCAGGGAGGGACTTAGCTCAGGGCTAGTGAGTTGATCATAATGAGGCTGATGAAGTCTCTCCACTGAGTGACCCAGGATCACCTCCCTTTGGATCATGTGAGTCTCCGTGGGCCTGGGCAGTCAGTCATACTTCCCCATAGAGACAGATCAGTAGTCCAGGCTGGGGGTGGAGAAGACCTGCCAGTTCCCAAATCAGCATGTCAGCATTTCTTTACTCTCAGCCTGTTGCCTGATCCCTCAATCTCCCAGTTTTATGGGTCTGAGAGCCCTTTTATCAACAAAAGATGGAGCAAGGATATCACTGGAAAAGAAGGGCCACTCTGGGAAAGTTACAGATCTGGCCCCTGCACTTGTAATTCTAATTCTCTGACCCTGCCGTTCCCCTCACCTGTGTTATCTTCTGTAGAAGGAAAATTGTACCCATAGAAAACCCAAGCCTGCTTGTTACCACCTGTCCAACCCCAAGTCTCACAATATGACTAACCAGCTTATAACATTCCAGTTTCCAATTTTGGCTCTCTCTCCATATTTTGGGCCTTCTGTGGACTTCTGTTTCACATTGGCTGCTGGAGCAGCCCAAAGATTGAAGGAGGAGGTATAATGAGTTTAGGAGACACCAAGATAATGGCCATAGTGTGGCTTCTTCCTCTGGGGATGTCTTTGGGCAGTGTATCCTCCACAAAGAGGTGAGGAGGCTAAGGATTGCCTCCTCAAAGAGTCTAGTCCATCCTTGAAGAGACTGTGGAATAAGGCCCGGGTCTTGGGAATTTTCGGAACTGAAATGAAGGAACTAGAATTTCTCTCTCTTGGTCAGGCCCAGTGTAACCCCCAGGGGCAGTCTAGCTCATTAGCCTGGTTCATAGGGTCCTGCCAGGGAGCCAGTGTTCCAGGTTGCTAATAATAATAATAATAGCTGACATTTTAATAGGCAGTGTGCTAAGCTCTTTACAATTATTTCATTTGATCCTCACAACCCTGGGAGGTAGGTGCTATTATTATCTCCATTTTATAGATGAGGAAACTGAGGCAGACAGGTTAAGTGACTTCCTCAGAGTCACACAGCTAGTGTTTGAGGTAAGATTTGAACTCAGGTCTTCCTGAGTCCCATCACTATGTCTACTTCATCACCTACCCTAGACAAGTAGAACTAAAGATGGTATGGAAGGGTTATAATGGGTTGAAGTTACCTAATTACCAAGTTACCTAATTAACTATAGGAATTTATTTCTCCCACCTTCCCCTTCTCCATGGGGAGCAAAGGAAGGTGACAGACAGACAGACACACACACACACACACACACACACACACACACAAATCAACCAATATAAAGGACTATTTATGTCACTTCCAGTACAGTTTGGGGACTTTTCTGAGTTTAAAAAATGCAGCTCTTATCCCATTTTGGGTCCTGGCCGTCCTGTTCCCTCCCTTTCCCCTCTTTCCAAGTCTCTCCCCTCAATACAAAGACCTCACCCAATTCTCCCAGCCCAGGATTTGTGAGAAGTCATACCTATGGCCTCTTCCCAGTTGATCTTGGTAAAGAGAAAGGTGGTGCCTGGATTAGGCTTGGCTTTCCAGGGCACAGGTCTTGAGATTTATCTACAAAAGTCTTGAGCCAGGAGTGCTGGAAGTGGGGCCCACCTGCATTTTTGAAGAAATCTGTTGCCCAAAGCCTACAACCTGTTGAAAGTCAGCTCCAATCTGGAACATAACAGTGACCCCAAACGTAGCTGCTCAGAGCAGAGTTTTACTTTCTGAATCGGGGGAAAGGTTAAAAAACAAGGTACTCACCGTGATCTGTGGGAGGAGGGGTGGGGCTAAAGGAAGTTAGTGGCCCAGGCACAAAGGAGAGTAGGGCTGGGTCTGGCGGAAGTTAAGGGGCCTTTTTGTGCAAAAGAAAAAAGAAAAAGGAGAAAAAAAAGCCCACTGCCCTTCCCTCCTTCATGAAGAAAACATTGACTCGGAGAACCGGTGAGCCTGGAAAAGTGTGGCCAAGAAGGTCCTTCCAGACTTTGAAGGACCTGCCCTAAGTTAACTCTAAACTATTTCTTATATTGCCCCGAGGAGAGGACTGGGATCCCGACCTGGGTGGGTCCCTGTTCACTGCCCTGTCTCCTCAATTCATTCATGGTAACCGTATGTGCCCAGGTTTTTAGTAGTAGTTGTAATAAGACAGGAAATGCAGGCAAGATGAGGATCTTTTTGGAATAATCACGTTAACTCTGTTCACTATCTGCCCTAGCAGTAGTTTAATGTCTTGATTTTAAAGAATCTTAGCTAGAAATCAAGTTCAAATCCCTCCATTTAAATAGGAACAGAAGCCCAGCCAAATACCGCAATGAGTGATATCCCAGGCAAAGCTGGGATTAGAACCCGGGTCTTTGGACTCTTGTACCTAGTCCAGTGCACTCTCCTCTAAGCCTTTTCTTGGCCCTCAATTGTGTTGGCTTTTGCTGTTTCTACCCCAGCCCTATCCTCACGAGAATAATGTAGGCTAAGAGGCTGAAGGAACTATCCTGTCCAGGATTCAGATGGATATCTGCAGGGAAGGGATTAAGGTAAAACTCAAGGCAGAGGATTTTCTGGGGAGGGAGGGAGAGTGAGGTTGATTGAGTGTTTTCTGGGCAAACTGGAGCAAGAACACAAGGTTACTAGTTGGGATGGACTGTTAAAAGACAAGGCCAAAGATAGCTGGGCTGTAGGGGTATTTTTATCTGGGGTTTGCTCTGGGAATAGTCTTAGTGTGATTCCTCCTCTTCTCACCAAATTTATTATTGTCAGTTAATAGCTCAGTCATATCTGACTCTCCGTGATCCCATGAGCCATAGCATGCCAATACTGTCCATGGGCTTTTCTTGGCAAAGATACTGGGGTGGTTTGCCATTTCCTTCTCCAGTGTAAGGCAAACAGAGGTTAAGTGACTTACCCAGAGTCACACAACTAGCATCTGAAGCCCCATTTGAACTCAGGTCTTTTTGCCTCCTTGGGCAGCTAGGTGTCACAGTGGATAGAGCACTGGGCTTGGAATCAGGAAGACTAATCTTCTTGTCAAGAAGAGTCAGACACAACTGAACTACAACTCCCTGCCTCCAGGCCCAGCGATCTATCCACTGTGCCACCTAGCTGCTTCTACCAGATTGGGCATGTCTGTTACCACTAGATCAGGGAAAGTAATAGACCTTTCGTCCTTTTGAGTTGATCAGACCACATATGGAGAGTCAGGCTCATTATAAAAGGGACATTAGTAAACGAAAACATCCATTTTGCCAAGGAAGGGGACTTAGAACTGCCAAAGGATGTTTAGAGTAGGAAGGCATCTTTTCTAGGACAGTTCCAGTGGTGGTTGGCCAGCCTCTCCTGGAAGACGACCAAATCCAACCAATCCCACCTCACCTAGCTGCATTCTGCCCTTCCACTGCCTTGCTTCCTAGGAAAATCAACCATTTGGATCAGCCAAAAAACACCTAGGACCCTAGTCTCTAGGGAGAGTTAATCTACTGAGGCTTCTTGCCAGATGCCCTGAATTCACCTCTTGCTTCAGGCTCAGTTATCAAATGCACATCACCATTGTTCTGAAAGGGTGTGTCTTTTGACTTTTCAAAAGGTCAATTCACCCCCCTTCTCTTCTAAATCATCACCCCCATAGGTTTCAGTCTATCTCAATTAGAAAGCTCCTTGAGGACAGGGACTAGATCACTTTTGTATTTGTTTTTTCAGCTTTTAGTACTGAATGTGCAGTCAGAAGGACTGAATTCTGTTTCATTCTGGATGGAAGATGGATTAGAGAAGGGACAGTTAGGAAGCTGGAAGGCTTCCAATTGGTAGGCAAGGGCTGGTATGGGCCTAAATTAGGACACAGGCTAGCTGAGTGAGTAAAAAACTGAGAAGTGTTTTAGAAGTAGAAGAATCCACAGGACGAGCTGATTGATTTGGTGTGAGGAATACGGGAAAGTGTCTAGGCTAGATTGACTCCAAACCTGGGAACTTGGGTGAGTGGAAGGGTGATGCCTTCTACAGAAAATAGAGAGTTTGGAGACTTAGAAATTTGAGTTTAGGAGGGAAGAAAATTAGTATTGCTTTAGACATGTTGAGTTTGAAATGCTTTGTGGGTGGAGATTTTCAGGAGGCGGTTGATGATCATGGGACTAGAGCTCAGGAGAGAGATGAGGTTTGGATGTACAGATTTGGGAGGCATTTATCAATCAATCAATAAGAATTTATTTTGTCTGCTATGCTCCAGGCACTGTGTTAAGTACTGGGAATACAAAAAGAGGCAAAAGACAATCCCTGCTCTCAAGGAGCTTACAATCTAATGGGAGAGCAACATACAAACAAATACATGTAAAGCAAGATGTGTATAGGAAAGAAGTAACAGAGAAAGCACTGGAATTAAGAAGGGTTTGAAAAGGTTTGTTATAGAAGGTAGGATTTTAGTTGGAACTTAAAGGAAGCCAAGGAGGTCAATAGTCAGAACAGAGGAGGGGAAGCATTCCAGGCATGGGGTACAGAGCCGAAAGGAATGTCTTGTTTGTGGAATTACCAGGAGACCAGTATCACTAGATTAGAGTACATGTCCAGGAGTCAGGTGTAAGAAGGCAGGAAAGGTAGATGGGGCTAGGTTATGAAGGGCTTTGAATGCCAAATAGAGCATTTTGTATTTGCTCCTACAGGTTATAGGGAGCCACTCCAGTTTGTTGAATGCAGGGATGACATGATCAGACCCTCAATTTAGCAAAACCGTGTTAGTGGCTGAATGGAGGATGGACTGGATTAGAAGGAGACTTGAGGCGGGCAGACTGATGCAATCGTTGAGGCTGAGGTAATGAGAGCCTGCACTAGAGTGGTGCCAGTGTCAGAGTAGAGAACGGGCATATCTGAGAGATGGTGGAAAAGTGAAATCAAAATAGGCTGTGGCAACAGAGGAATCCAGGAGAACTCCTAGGTTGTGAGCCTGAGGGACTGGGAGGAGAGTATTGCCCCCTACAGTAATAGGGAATGTAGCAGAGGGGAGGATTTAGGTGGAAAGATGAGTTCCATTTTGCATGTATTGAGTTTAAGATGTCTACTAGACATCCAGTTCAAGGTGTCTGAAGGGCAATTGGAAATTGGAGAAGACTTGAGGTAAGCAGAGAGTTTGGAGCAGAGCAGGTAGATTTGAGTCATCAGCATAGAGATGGTAATTAAATCACTGGGAGCCTTTGAGATCACCAAGTGAAGTAGTATAGAGCAGAAGCAAGAGAAGAGAACCCAGTTTAGAACACTGAAAGACACCTATGGTTAGAGGGCTTGATCTGGAAGAGGATCCAGCAAAGGAGACAGAGAAGGAGTGGTCAGATTGGGAAGAGGAGAAGCAGGAGAGAGGGGTGTCCTGAAAACCTAGAGAGAAGAGAGTATCATCAGTGACAAGGCTTCAAGAGAATGAGGACTGAGAAAAGGCCATTGGATTTGGCAACTAAGAGATCATTAGCAATTTTGCAGAGAATAATTCTGATGAAGCGATAAGGTCAGAAAGGGTTAGAGGAGAGAAAGTGGAGGCACCTATTGTAGATGTCTTTTTGAGGAGTTTAGCTACAAAGGGCAGAAGAGATACAGGATAATAATGGGGATGGAAGAGTCAAGTGAGGCTTTTTCAGGATGGGAGGGGGAGATGTGGGGCATGTTTGTAGGCAGTAGGAAATGAGCCTTGCAACAGAATGAAAAGAAGTGCTAGAGTAGGGATGACGGGTGGGTATAGGGGATGGCAGTCTGCTGGAGGAGATGGGATGGAATGGGATCACGTGAACAAGTAGAGGGGTTAACTTTGGTAAGGAATAAGGCCAAGTCATCATATGAAACACAGATGAAGGAGGAAAAAGTAGCAGAAGGCCCGGCAGTGACAGCTCACGAGGAAGGAGGGGGTAGAGGGAGCTAATGGTAAATGGCCTCATTTTTTCTGTAAAATGAAGCAAGGTTTTTAGCTGAGGGAGTGGGGGGAGGGCAAGCTATGGCAAACTTGAAGAGGGACACAAAGATTTAGAAGAGTCACTATAGGGGCAGCTAGGTGGTGCAGTGGATAGAGCACTGGCCCTGAAGTCAAGAGGACCTGAGTTCAAATCCGGCCTCAGACCAAACACTTGACACTTACTAGCTGTGTGACCCTGGGCAAGTCACTTAACCCCAATTGCCTAACCACAAAAAAAAAAAAAGAGCCACTATGGAAATTGGGATAGTTATTGTTCATCCTTCATTCTCATCATCATAGGGTGATGTCTTCACTTGCAAGTGAATTGGATTTAAGTGAGGCAGAGTTGACCAAATTTGTTAGCTTCACTCTCTCTTCCAGAGTCATTGAAGTCCAGTAGCAAGACAACAGTCAGGACAACTGGCAGTGGCCTGGGATTCAGTGGATGACCTTGGTGTCCTGGATGGCTGACCAAGCTCTGTGGGTTCCACAGTGCCTGCTTCAGGCACTTTCATGGCCACTGGAACAAATTGTTCTCATCCACCCATTCCACCAGAGGAAGTCTTCACATGCTTGGGGTAGACATCCGTCTGACTCACCAGTGGGTTTGAGGACTGTTGATTACCCTCAAAGTGGTTTAGTCCATCTGCAGAGACAGTTTTACTGGGGTGTGGCCACGGAGCATGCTACAGCTTCTTGGAACAACAGGTGAGAGGTGGTTGAAGGTGGATGAGCAACCCAGAAAAGGGCTTGAAAAGCCCTCATACCAGAGGTGCTGGTCCTCCCTGAACATCCCTAGGTCTCAGATTCTCCACTTGTCAGTG